AGGGCACCTCTTGGGATGAGCACTGGGTGTTGTATAGAAACCAATTTGACAATAAATTTCATATATAAATAAAAAAAAAGAAAAAAAAAGAAAAAAAATAAACCGTTAAAAAAATAAATAAATAAAAAAATAAATAAATATCAAACACTGTCACTGTGATATAACTGTATTTTTATTTTATCTTCAAAGACTTCTACAAGCAATCAACTATCACAGGATTTATAATGCAGGGTTACCAGAGTTTGCTACATGCAAAAATTAAAACTTGGAAACTTATCTAAATACAATATAATAAAGGTAACTGATTTAACCTTTTAAATAGCTTTATTGAGACATAATTCACTTAATAATAAAATTCATCCTGTTAAAGCATACATAAAATTTAGTGGTTTTTAGGATATTTACAAAGTTAATCTGTAATGCAGCCATCATTAGTATCTAATTTTGGAACATATTCATCACCTCATAAAGAAATCCTGTGTGTATGAGTAGTTACCTCCCATTCCCTTTCCCTCCAGCCCCTGGGAACCACTAGACTACCTTCTGTCTCTATGAATCTACATTTTCTGCACATTTCATATAAGTGGAACTATACAAGTTTTTGTGTAGACAGATGTTTTCTGTCCCATGTATGGACAGAGTGGAATTGCTGGACCACATGTAATTATATATTTAAAATTTTGAGGAACTGTCAGAATATGTTCCAAAGAGGCTGTATCCATTTTACAAACCCACAAGCAGTGCATAAGCATTTCAATTTCTCTACATCCTTGCCCACACTTGTTATTATCTTTTTAAGTATAGTCATCCTAGTGGACGTGAAGTAATACCTCATTGTGATTTTGATTTGCATTTCCCTAATGACCAATCATGTTGAATATCTTTCCATGAGTTTGGATATTGGCCATTTGGATATTTTCTTTGGAGAAATGTCTACTCAAATCCTTTATGTATTTTTTAATTGGTTTATTTGCCTTTTTACTGTTGAATTGCAAGAGTTCTTTATATATTCTGGATATAAATTCCTTATCCAACATATGATTAGCAAATATTTTCTCTCATTCTGTGAGTTGTCTTTCTACAATCTTAATGGTGTCTTAGAAGATAGGAAGCTTTTAATTGTGATGAAGTGCAGTTGATCTATGTTTGCTTTGCTTGTGCTTTTGGTGTTGTATCTAAGAAATCACGGCCTAATCCAAAGTCACAAAGATTTACACCTGTGTTTTTTCCTAAGGCTTTCATAATTTTAGCTCTAATATTTAGGTCTCTGATCCATTTTAAGTCCATTTAAAAAAAATTTTTTTTTAACATTTATTTATTTTTGAGACAGAGAGAGACAGAGTATGAACGGGGGAGGGTCAGAGAGAAGGAGACACAGAATCTGAAACAGGCTCCAGGCTCCGAGCTGTCAGCACAGAGCCCAACGCGGGGCTCGAACCCACGGACCGTGAGATCATGACCTGAGCCGAAGTCGGCCGCTTAACCGACTGAGCCACCCAGGCACCCCTAAGTCCATTTTTATATGGTGTGAGGTAGGAGTCTAACTTCATTCTTTTGCATGTGGATATCCAGTTGTCCCAACACCATTTGTTGAGAAGACTATTCTTTTCCCCATTTAATTGTCTTAACAATCTTGTCAAAAATCAGTTGGCCATAATATAAGGACTTATTTCTGGACCCTCAATTCTATTTCACTGATCTACATGTGTTTTTTCAAGCTACTATCATACTGTCTTCATTACTGTAACTTTGTAGTAGGTTTTGAAATTGGGAAGTGTGAATCCTCCAACTTTTTTTCTTCCAACTTTTAGGAACTGTTTATTTTCCATTAACCTTATTTCCATTTTGTTTGCCTTTGTGGAAGAGTAGCTTAAGACCACTTGGTGGTTGTTCCTACCCATTGAGTCACCTGAGCAGTGGGAGCGGCAGACT